ACAGAAGAACAAAACAAAACAAAAAAAATACAGATAAGTTGAGGTACATATACCTGTTGAAGCCCCCACATAAAGGGATTTACCACAAAGACAGCTTCCGTTAGTGGAATAGTTAAATAGTTTAAACATAGTTATATTTTAAAATAACTTAAATTTTTTTTCCTAGTTATAATAATGTTGGTTGCAAGCTGACAGTCAAAATCCAAGAAACTGGATTGTGAAACTGGCGTTAGTATAGATCCAGAAGACTCCTGTTTTGGTATCAGCTGGTAAAAGAAAGCTTGGATCACTTAAATTTTTCTATTCTGCTAAAAAAATTAGCACCAATTGTTTTTGACGCTTTTAATACCATATATTTGCCTGATAACAATCAGAAATGACAGCTTTAATAACTCTAAAACTTTAACATTAGTAACCCTATTAACCATGAAACCTAGTGATACCCTAAAGATATTTTAGTAAAAAAGTGATTTTAGTGAAAAAAATAATATATTTATATAGTTGGATACAAAATAATTATAGAAAATTTTATGTATATATATATATATATATATATATATATATATATATATATATATATATATATATATATATATATATATATATATATACATATATACATATATATATATATATATATATATATATATATATATATATATATATATATATATATATATATATATATATATATATATATATTATAAATGCTAAATATGTTATGGTATATTTTATTTATACTTTTAAACATACACAAAAAAATGTATTCGTATATGGTTAGCCTAGAGGGAGAAAAAAATTAAAAAAAGTAGTCATGTACAGAAAAAAAGTCAAACTGAAGGCTTGGGTATCAAAACCAATTGTTACCATTTCCCTTAATGAACTTAATTTGTTACTTGGAAATCATTTGTTCAAATATCTCATCACTCTTAGAGTTAAAACAAAACTTGGTTCTTTTTCTCACATGAATAAAAAATATAAAATGTTAAATGCAATATATAGCAATGGCTAAAAGTCCTAATGAGAAATACCATGTAATTGTTAAAAAATACGCAAAGAATTGCATATTTATATACAGCTAGAAGAAAAAGAATGGCCAACATCACAACTTAACCCTTTTCAATCGAACCATAATGGATTCTTTGATAAAAATTATTGCATGAAACATTTGAGAGAATTATACAAAGTATAACTGCTCTCTGAAAGAAAAAGTGTCAATCAAGCTTTTGCATTCATACAGAACCCTAAACTGTTCAAGAGTTTGGTTGCATTATGCTCTGGTAACAAGGTGGAACCTTACTTTAAAATAAAGAATCATATAAACTTACATTAGTATCCCTGACTCTGTCACTTCAAGTACATGGAATATTCTGCAAGAACCTTGATTTATTAAAATGAAGAAAACACTGCAAGCAAGCAACCAATAATCTTCATTTAAATTTCAAACTGAGAGAGTTACAAAAAAGAATAAACCCAGACTTCTTAAATCAGGTTCTTAAACACACAGTTAATTACAACAGCAAGAAAAAAAAAACATTAACCACAAAAGTATCTTGTCGAGGAGTTAAAATTTCCTTCAGTGGACTGGGGAGAGATTTACATTTTTTTATAACTTATTAATCATTTTTTTACCAAAATTTATAAAACACTTTTTAAATCATAAAAATTAAAAACACTAAATTGCTCCTAGATAATGTTAGCCAAATAAGTATATAATTCATATCAGTTCAACACAATTTGTTGCAACATTTAACTAGTTAAAAATAATTTGCTTTAAAAAATTTATATAAAAAAAAAGATTATAAAAAAAATATTAAAGTTAATCATTAAAAGACTTTAATCATTATTGTTAAATTTTAATACCGAACATTAACTATAAAAATGAATGATTTGATGCTGTTTTTATGTTTTGATAGCATATTGCTAATTGTAATAAACTAAAGTGTTTAAAAATGTAGTTTTCGCTTTTAAGTGGATATTTTACACTAACTTGATACATATGAGAATTATTTCAATTTCGAGACATAAACATTACCACATACCCAGATGATGAAAGTTCTGCATGATATGAAAAAGATATCAAGACATGCTTTATTGTGTTTTGGCTTTTTTCTTGCCTGTTTAAAATTTAATAAAAGTTTAAATTTAGAAATAAATTGCAGAACTCCAATTCATCAAAAGTGTTGATCTTAACTAAATCTTCATTTCAAATTTTTAATCAATTAGATTGAATATTTTTTGCAAGCAAATATAAATTTTTTATTAGAACTTAATTTTATTTTTCTGGTTCCTCAATGTTTAAGGGTATTATTAATGAGTCTGTAAAATATATGCAAAATTTAGCATCACATTAATCTAAACTACTATGTTTTTAAAATAAAATTTCAGTGAAAAGGTGAAACCAAAGGGCGAATTAAATAATTACAAACTGAAAATTCGGGAAAAATTTCTGGTTTTCAAATTTTCAGTTTCTTGAAAACCATCTACATTTTTTTCGCACCATTTAGTAACATAAACTTTTAAAATTAAACAAATGATACCATTTGTTTAATTTTAAAAGTTTATGTTACTAAATGAAGTTTTCTGAAGTTTAGTAGTTTTTCTAGATTAATTTCAATTAATATTTAGGATTTATTTTGAATTGTTTAATTATGTTTATAAATTTAAAAATGTAAATTATAAAAACTTTTGCGTTATGATAAATATATTATTGTTAAAACAGTTTGCAATTATAAATATCTTTAGCAATCTTTTTTTTTTGTCAATTTTATCATGGTTTATTTCACAATTATTTGTATTATTATTTTTTATTTATTTATGTAATTTTTTATGAAACATTAAAAAAAAATGTGGTTGCTTAAGTCTCATATTATAAAAAATAACAATTACAACTTTGCCAAACCATATACATGTTTATTTTATTTTTATAACTTTTATGTTTTTATGAACTTTAAAGGCATTTTGGTGACAGACATTAAAAAGCATAGTTTATTAATAAATCAGAAAAATTTTAATTTAAAAAATAAAGGAAAATAAGTTTATACATCAGATTTATCACTTTCACTTTCACTTTCTAAATCTGATATTGTCAATACAGATAAGTCAACGATACAATTTGCATTATTAGGTTGCTTTTTTTTTTCTTCTGGATAGTGAAAAGGGGTCAGCATAAAATCTTCTTATTTTATCTTTATACCATACATCCAAAGCAGGGTTTGGGTCAAATTTATTTATGCTTCTTCTCCTGTTCATACTTTTGAAAACAATCCACGCAATAAAAATTTCATTTGTATCACATCACCCTTTTTTTAAGAGATCTTTAAAATGAGAAACTACTTCTGCTATTTCTTTATCACCAAATGTAATTACAGGGTTTGTCATCCAAAAAGGTATGTCTAACAGAAAAACTAAATTACAGAATAAAGGAGATACCTTTCTTTGAAAATATCTTTGAAATACAAATCCATGCTATTTGTTAAACTATTGATTGTGCCAGTATAAATGTGTTGCACCGATGCATTAGTTTTGTTAAAATTTCATAAAGTAATGTTTTGGTAAATAAGGTCCCTATTTTTTTTATAACTATACTTTTAATCAATTTTTAGTAGTTTGTTAAAATAGTTTCCTCTGATGAAATATTGCCTAATGAACTGTTCAAGAGCGTTTCAAGTTTTTCCATTGTCCAATTAAATTGTTGCATCGTTTGGACAGCTTTTACTGGATCATGTAAATCTTGCTATAAGCCAATACTTAAGCGTCTTAACGGTGCGAGAACATCAGGTAAACAAATAAATATATTACAAGATTTTTTTAAACTTTAACTCAGCTTTTTTCGACAGCACAGATTCTGTTTGGTTAATAGACTCTATATGAGAAATATATCCACTATAATTATCTAAAGCTATTTTGATTTGATTCATTTATTTATGATCCAGCCAACGAGTACTGTATAATTTTGCTGGTTTAGGAACGAATTTTTTACAAACTTCTGATAAAAGTTTTAATTTTTGTAAACATTACGACAATTGTTTATAAAGACAATCTAACTTTAGTAAGAAGTATTCACATTTCGCAAATGCAGTAAATTTTTCAAAACCAACTTTTATTGCAAGCTCAAGACGGTGGTTGAAACAATGTATTACTTGAAGCCATAGAGATTTTATTTTTAGTAAGCTCCTAAACCTGAGTAAACACTAAGATTTACGCTTGCTCCGCCTATGTTTAACCCTAATAATTGTTTAGTCATAGTAGTTATTCCAACTTTTGCAAATACTTGTTCAAGACAGATTTGTAAACCACTTGTGGGGGCTTTTAACTGATAAAAGTTTAATGCATAAACTGCCCTCAAACAAATAAAATACACACACACTAATTTTTGTTCTAGTGTAGCAATATCACAATTACCACCACATAAAATTGAGTAATATCACAATTTTTTAAAACCATCTCTGAAAGCATCTTTAGCAATTTGACTAATGTAATCTGTGAAAATACAAACAGCTTGATTAGTTGAATAACTATTACCAAGATCAATGCCGTTTTTTTCAATTAGCCCTAGCAAATCTGGGAAATAAGAAATTGGGCATACCTTTTTGGCCAAGAAGTAAGCTGCATTGAATTTCTTCTTAAGTGAGTCACAATCTTTTTCACTCATTTCTTGCAGCCCTTTTCCAGTACCAGTGTTTTTGTTAATATATTTTTTTAACCAACTGCACCCAATTTACTCTGATAACCCATGAGATTTTTTATGTTTACTATTGCAATGGCTTCTTACACTATCTTTCTTAATTTATTGGAAGGTGAATCCATGAAGAATCCAATAGAAAATTTTTTAACATTTTCAGTATGAGATTCATATTGCTTGCAAAGCAAGCAGTGTAACCTTACAATCTCATTCCCCACAATATCATACTCAAACGTTAAATTAAATTATTTTTCTAATTTGAAACAGAACTTAGTTTACAATGGTTATTTTAGTTTTAAGATAAAAATAATGATGCCAAATATTTTAATATTTAGTTCACTTTGTCTATTAGGCTTTCAATTTAATATATTTGATTTTCTTTCAAGTTTTAATGCCTTTTTAATTTGCTTAAAATGATTATAAACTATAAATATGATTATAAATATAAAGGTCATTTTTTAAATTAAAGCCATTAAAGTCTGAACGCTATAGTTTAGCAATAGTTACTTTTATCCTTTAAACCCTTTACTACCATAAAAATTTAACTCATTTAACTTCACTGACAATAAAATATAATACCACGCTGGAATATTCTGGCAGTGTTATGTATTATAAGCATTATAAACAATATTGTATACAGTTTTAAAAATTTTTTTTTTTTGCTATCATTGGTATAATTTTTTTTTTATAATTTTGGGGCCCTAATGACATGGGGGCAAGCATTAATTTTAAAATTAACCAATGAAAATTATAATAATATCTATTTTGCCCAAACCGCTAGTAAAATGTTTAACGTATAATTGTAAACACTTTAGAAGTTGGTAATGTAATGAAGTTGGTGGTTTGATTACCTTCAATGTAGTTGATATTTAATGTACTTTATTTAACATATATATATATTTCCTTACAATTTTTTTATATAACATTAAGTGCTTGAAAGTGCTTGAAAAGTGAAATTAGTTCTATTTAATTTTTAAGATCCATAAAAACTAAGTTCAGGGTTTTTGAAGAAACTAAAAATTTAAAGACGAGAAATTTTTCCAGATTTTTTAATTCGCGGGCACTTATTTTGCCCCTTGTGAAATAATCATTAATTTTGTGATGAGCAGGTTTAAAGTAAGCAAAATTGAACATACTGAACTGAGTGATTATTTAATATTATCAAAATTTTCATTCATATTACTATTAACTTAAAAACATTAACTTGAAAAAAATACCACTTACCAAACCTAATAACAAAAATCCAAATATCTAGAAAAAAAAAATTTTATCAAAGAAAAGACAACAAATGAATTTGAACTCAAATAAACTTTAAGAACATAATTTACTGATGAAACTTATTAAAATATTTATTAAAAAATAAAACAAAATAATATACTGTAGAAGCCCACTCGAAAGAGAAGTTTTCCGTAAGAAAACCACCAAACGTTGGACCAATTACTGAACTAAAGAAAACAAATACACCATAATTGAAAACAATAAACTTTGTTCAAAAGTTATTAAAAAATTGCCAAAAGGATATTCAAAATGATGTTAAACAAAAAATACTGGTTACAGATTCATTCATATTAAAAAAAAAAAAAAAATCATTTTTATAGTGTAAAATGCAAAAAATTAAATATTGTCAATACATACATACATACATACATACATACATACATACATACATACATACATAAACACATATATATATATATATATATATATATATATATATATATATATATATATATATATATATATATATATATATATATATATATATATATATATATATATATATATATATATATATATATATACATATATATGTATTAAGAATATTCAATATATATATATACATGGCCTACTTTATACACAGCCGGATATGTTGCATAAATAGGCCAAAAATTAGAAGGCCAGTTTTTCAATATTACAAGTTTTCTGGATTTAAGTTTAAATAGGTTTAAATATAATTAAATTGCTAGGTTTTTTAATTTAAGTTAATAAATATATTATAATTATTTAAACTAAATAGATTTATATAGTAAAATATCTTTTCGTATTAGTTTTTCCTTATTTAAAAACGTTTAGGTTGATTTTATTATTAACATCTAGTAGTTTTTTTTTTAATTTGTTTATTTGATTTTCGTAATTCACTTCAAATGATTTTTTCTTTTGAACAACTTAATATTTTAAATATAAAATTAAGAATATGACTATTTTTATACACATTTTTTTACCGTAGAGATTTCAGACAAAAATCAAAAAATACTAATAGCAAGTTTCATCAAGATTTCATATACAAAATATATCTATTTCACACACACACACACACACACACACACACACACACACACACACACACACACACACACACACACACACACACACAGATATATATATATGTATATATATATATATATATATATATATATATATATATATATATATATATATATATATATATATATATATATATATATATACACACATACACACATAAACTATATTTCTTTTTTTTTCTTTTCCCTTTGTCTTCTTTTAAAAGATAATACAGCATCTTTGCGCTTTCCGTTACTAAAAATCTTTTGTTCATTGTTATAAAAAATATTTATTACTGTCTGATTAACAAGAGAAAGCACTTTAAATGATCCTCACAAATAAAGCTGTGGTTCAAGTTATATTCATATAAAATATATTCGCTAACTTTTCTGATGCCAAGAATTTCTATTGTAAGTAAACTTTTTTTTACTGCATCAAGCATAGCAAAGCAAATAATAACGTGATTTGCAAGCAATTTTGAGGGAGTTATGAGACCTCCTCTGGATAGTAGTTCAATATATTCTGTATTTAAATCAATGAGATCACTTTTTAGCAATAAAGTACATAATTCACATTTAACTTTTTTGAGTAATTTTCTACATATATATCCAGCAATAAAAATAGCAACTTCTTTACTGTTATCATCTAAATCACATTCCTGAATATCATTAATAAAAAGTTCAGAAATCGAATTTATATTTACAACCAACTTGAAAGTTTTTAAATCCATTTTCCAAAAGTCAAAATTTTCTTTTAATAAAGATCTCATTTGCAAAAATTTTTCAGAAGTTATTATTTCACAAAATCCAACAAGAAATCTGCCACCACTCATTTGACGATACTTTAAAAAATGTCGCTCCAATGGATCACATTGGAAACAAGAGGTTAGAACATAATTATATCCTTCAAATAGAAGATCTTCAATTAAACTAGAAGTACTTTGCAGTGTTAAAATAAGGGCTTTAGAAGTCTGAGTTGTAAGAGAATATCTTTCGGTGGAACTGTATTGCGAATTTTGCCACTGATCAATCCAGTGAGCAAATGCACGTAAAAATTGTGGCTTACCGTCCCCAATAACAGATGCATTTCTAAACTTATGATTAGAGTATTTCATTTCAGAATTAGATATTACCCATCATAAATTAACAAGTTTTAAAAATTCTGATGCTGAAAATTCATTGGGAAAATAACTTTGAATTGCTGCAGATGTTGTTTCATGGAATATATTTAATGCTAGGTTGACGTCTTGTTTATTGTTACCTGAATATAATGTCTTTTCTCCTTAGTTTTGATGCCTTTCTTAAGTTTGCTGATAGAGTTTCATCTTTTTCAAGCACTCTATAAACAATCCCCAAGATATATCACCTGCAGAGACTTTTATATTAAAAATGTAATCAGTGAACTGAAATGATGGGAAAATAAACTTTTTGGTACTAATCAAATTATTTCTTAAGTTTTTGAGCAAATGTACACTATCATACATCAAATAAATTATATGACCATTAAAAGTGATACAAAAATTTTCTTCTTGGTTCTCTGAACCATAAACGCTGAGTAATTTTGAATAAGCTGACACATTAGTTGGATGGTTATCAGCAATCAATGCACTAATGTTAAAACCAGCAGATCTTAATGTATTTAAACTTTCTTCTATTTCATCTTTAATAAAATCTCCAGTAAGACTAATTTCTGGGATAGCTTTAATAATATATGGTATTGATTTTTTAAGACCAACAATCATGAACACAATTATTCCTTCGTAAAGATTACCCTCTATATCTTGACCAATTAATCTACCACTGTGGTATTCACAAGATTGCTGTAAATACATTTCATCAAAAAGGAAAACACAATCATTGCTTATTTTTTCTTCATTTAATAACAGTTTTAATGATTTTATTGAATCGATTCCACCAGAAACTAACTTCTTTAGTAGTGACATTGATGGCAATGGGAGTTGTTTCAAAAGAAGGGAATGAGCCTGAAATGATGAATATCTTTGCATAAGTGCAAAACGTAATACTTGTGAAGAATATGGAGGACGACCTTTGGATTTGTGAAAAATTAAATTTGATAGTTCATTAATTAAACCATACGAATTTTCTTCAACAAGGTTGTGCATATATGAGACCAAATTATTTAAAATTGATAAACTTGTAAGCTTACAATTGTTAATTGTTCTAAACGATTTAAGGAGTGGAAGTGGAGAACTTTTTTGTTATCAATATGCATCGATAACAAATTATTATCGATGCATATTGATTCAATAAATGGAGTTGTGTCTACAAAAAAAAAAACGATAATATAAAACAAAACTTTCATATCTTTGAAAACTTAAATCCATTTGGAGAGTTAGATTCATGAAGTATATCAATGTTTTTTATTTTACCCATTTCTTGAAATGTATGAATTTCATCTGGGATGGTAGAATGTTGGTCAGTTGGAGGTTTACGAAAAGTAGGAATTTTAGGTATTATAGAAGATGGAATAGAAATTTCATCAGAATAAATGGTTGAAACAGGGTTTAGCTCATATTTTAAGGTAACTCGTTTTCCATATTTTAAACTTTTTTTCAAAATGGTCCAAGCATATAACTGAATGTTTGCTTGGTTTCCAATCTTTTCTGTTAACAAATTTCATCCATTTTTCTTCTAAAACATTATCTTTAGGAAAACTAAAAACAGCTTTACTTGCACTAAGAGAACTAGATTCATTTTTTTTAGATTTATAGCCAGTTCGACAATTAAAAACAGCACATTTGTTCACCATTATATCCAAAACTAAATTTCCAACTAAATCAATATCTCTTAAAATAAAATTTAAACAATATTAACTGGCAGTATGAAAAATAACCGAAATGCTATAAACTGGCCTTCTAATTTTCGGCCTATTTATGCAACATATCCGTTTAAAAAGACTTTTGTATTAAATAAATAAAAAATGAGTAGGATGCTTGTAAAGTTAAGATGATATTTTCAAAGTTGAACTATTTTTTTTCGCTCAGAGCTTTTGTATTTGTTTTACTTGTGTGCCTTTTGTGTTCTATATTTTCGTTTTGATTTGTTTCTTTATTCTTGGAGTGAACTTGTTAAACTTGAACAAAATAATTTTTCTTAACAATTTTAGAATTTTTGAAGTATATGCAATGCATACATAAACTTCACCTGCTTCTTAACATACTGTTATTTAACTTATAACATAATATAGAATAGTTATGGGTGTTTGCCAACAACTGTTTCATTTCATTTTTTCATTTTATTCATCATGTTACTTACTTAAACTCCTCTGCAGTTTGTTGTCTTGACAACGTTCTTGTCTCACAAAAGTTTTCTCTAAAAGCTCTCTAAACTATTTAACAAGTTTTTTAGTTTTTTATTTATTTATTGGAATCTAATAATTAAAAACTCTGGAAATCACTCTGGTCACTATTATTAATAAAGTCTGTGAATGTTTATTTAAAACACTTTTAATAAACCTCTTACAACCAATTTTAGTCCTCTCATTTGACTGCAAACTTGTTTTATAAAAAAAAAATGCTCTATTTTTTATTATGCATTAAAAGAGAAAAAACTAAAGTAAAAGTAGGGTTATTGCTCTTGACATATGACTTTTGATAAAGTCTGGCATACTTTTTTTTTGGCATACTGTTTTCTCCATATACTCGCATCGTATGGTGTCCCTGGAAAAATATTTAAAATTATTGAATCATTATTTTTTCACCACAGTTGCCCTTGATGAACAAAGCGTTTTTTTATTCCCACTAACTTCAAAGATACCAGAAGAATGCACCCTTAGATCTCTGTTAGTTGTAACCTATATTAATTATCTATCCTTTAAAATGGCGCTATTTGCTGGTGATACAACTATACATTCCATTCATTACATGACAAATTAAATGACCAATTTTAATTAAGCTTATGGTTTAAACATTTTTATGTAAAATAAAATCAACAACCCGTGCTTGTTAAAGTAATTGCATAATATTTCTTTCTTTCGGTGTTCCCTAAGTTAAAAAGGTTGTATGTTGATACTTGTAAGTTTTTTTTTATTATTTTAAAATCTATTTATGCAAATTAAAACAAAAATATTTAGCCTTTTTTGTGACCAATGTACACTGTAGCAAATTTTATTATACTATGTAATGTAAAATATCTCATGCAAAATTCAAAAATAGAGATTACATTATTATAATATTATAAACAATTTTATTAGATTTGCTAGAAAAATGTTTGAAGCAATAAACAACCATAACAACAAATTGAGAACAAACATTAAAAGCAAATGCAATTTAAAACTAAAATAAATATGTTACCCAATGCTAAAACAGCTGTTAAATATTCCTGATATAACTGTTTTTGTCCCCATTGTTTCTGACAGTCCAGCTTTACTTAAATTAATATATTTCTTAATTAACACATTTTATAAAACTATTTTTCAAGTTATTTACAGTTATCACTATAATATGAAACACTGTTTAAATTTATTTATTATTTAATCTCAAAACATAAGAAACAAAGGGTTTACCTTCCAGCTTGATGCATGTCAGATAAAACAGGTACAAGAAACCCTGATATACCCAAACCCAGTCCTCCAAGTGCAATCAATACAACATACAACTTTCTATAAAAGCCAGTATATCAAAAACAAAATCAAGAGACACAAATTACAAATAAATTAATAACTAGTTACCTTGGAATAAACGACCAAAATAAAGGTGAGGGACCAAGAAGCAAGTATGCAATACCAACAAAAAAAGCACCACTGACTATTACGTGCCGAGCTTTAAGCTGAAAAAACAACAACAATGTGTTTATCCAATCTATTTACATGTCAATGTAAACCTGTTTATGCAATAAAAAATTAATAATAAATATAAATAATAATAAAAGATACCCTTTTATCAGTTAAATATCCGACTAATGGAGCAGACAAAGCATAAAATCCAGCTGGCAACAAAAAAATCAACCCAATTTTTTGAGGTGAAATGTTTTTCTAAAAAATAATTTATTTGATTCTAAATTTCAAAAAATCTAATCGTTTTCTTTATTTTAAAAAAGGGATTTTATATTTCAAAAATTTTTTTCAAAGTTATCAAGATTATTTATATTATTGATTAATTATTAATATCAGATTATTATATATAAAATATATAATAATCTTATATTAATAATTAATTTTCTTGATTAAAAAAATTTTTTACAACACCAATAACATAACTCAAAAAATGAGACTTGCATTTATACTTTAACTTATCAGTATTTAAATTTATGATATATATATATATATATATATATATATATATATATATATATATATATATATATATATCAGTATTTATATCTTAATAGCATTTAAGTGAATATATAACTATATTTATATAAACTTACATTTAAGGATGTGATGTGTAATGTAATTGTTGGATCAAGGAAACCAAGTACCATAGAACCAAATATACAAGTAATAGCTAAAACATCCCCACACGCAAATTATAAACAAACCAAAATAATTTATAAAACATTTATTGCAAACTTGGATACAGTATTTTTTAAATAAACTTGTTTTACCACTGTTCTCAACATAAATGATAAAAATAAAAATAAATCCACAGTTAATTTCAGTAATTTTATAAATTATTAAACTGCTTTAAAATTGTATACAAAAAACAAAAATTGAAATAGTTAATTAGAATAAAAAAGTAAAAACTTTGAGTTCCTTGAGTAACTTAAAGCAAAGTTTATATTGTATTCTACTTTATCTTCAACACAAGGTAGTTATTTGAAAAAAAAACTTATTTTAGTTTTTATGCACGAGCTACCAAACTCAAGCAAGTTTTAAAATGTTTTTTAAAAGACTTTTTTAAAGTGTTTTTTTAAAGTCTATATATACACACATCTGAATATATAGCCAATAATCTGCACATACATTATTGGGTGCGTATAAAACATTGAACAAAATGATGCTAATTTATCATAATTTTTCTTAATGTCTTTTAAAATGACTAGTAACTTAATTGGGAAACCTTTTAATAACTATACATGCTTAATATAAAAATTTCTAACATAATAAATGGAATAATTTATATAATATATGCTATATAATTATAAATATGTTAAAAAATAATGGTTGAAAAAAGATAAGCTTTTCCAAAAATCTAATGAACAAACCAATGCAACAATCAGTAGAACTAAATCCAATTAGGTTACAGTGTAACTGTAGACAGTTGGAAAAATATTCTTGCAACTGTTTTGCTTGCAATTGTCTTGAACAACTAACCAACAGCTTAACATTGGTCAACAACAAAAACAGAAGCAATTAAAAATGCAATTATTGCTTAAAATCAGGGCTCGAAATAATGAACTTTTTTGTATTTAACAATTTGTCCGATAAAGAATCAAGTTTGCCAGACATGTCTGATAAAAACAAAGAAATGCGATCGAAAGCCATTCCTGACCATGCATAAAATTTTATGTTTTTACAATTTGACCACGCAACTTGTAAGATAAACTTGCATTATTTTAACAATCACATGCAGAAATTTTTTTAAATGTGACTACATCGAGGCAAAAATATCAACTAATAATGCATTATTTTAACCAGATGTAGTTACATATAGGATTTGTTTCAGATGTAACTACATCTGCAGAAAATTCTTCCATATTTTATTGGACTTGGAGAAAAATTACCAGATGTCGTTACATCTTTCTAAAGATGTTGTTAGGGGTCGCTGAATTTTCAGATGATATGGGACAGATGTTATTAGAGTAAAAGAAAAATACAGATGATCTTGGACGAAAGTGTGCAAATGATATTGGACTACAGATATTGTTGGAAACATTTAGTAATCTTTTACCAAAATTTTAAGCGCAAAAATAAACATTGCGTAACTCAAATTTAAAAAATGTAATAAAAATTACTGGTTTCTATAAGCATTAAAATAACTATTACGTTAAAATTTTTACAAAATAAATTTAGAAGGTGCTTTAAAAGCTAAAATAATTGTTTGAAACTTATTAAAAAAATCAGACAAAAAATTACTAATAAATACTAAACTATAAATTTAAGTTAATAACTAATTGCAACGTTTTAATATAGATGATAAAAACCAGGCTACTTAATTCAAAAAAATGCAATGCTTTGGCATCTTTGAAAAAATGATAAAACTCAAAAAAATGAAGTATTTTATTAATATAGCTGTGTTCAACTTCAATTTTGTTTTGTATAAAAAATAAAAAAATGAAATTTATATACAATACTAAATTTATTATTAATTTTGGAACAACTAATGTAATTAGAAAATAAATGAACATAAATTATGAGTCAGAAAAAATGACTGATAGAAGTCGTTTTTTACCAGACAAGTGCCGGACAATGTCAGGTGTACGACGCTTATTTCGAGCCCTGCTTTAAATAACCTTTTAAGTTAGGACTAACTATTTAGGACCAAAAACTAAACTAAACTAGAACCAACTATTGTTAAATATTGTGATGCATTTTTTAAATCAGCTACAAAATTCATGAATGTTTTTATAATCTTTTACAACATGAATGTTTTCATAATCTCAGACATGACTGAGGCTGAAAGATATCTAAATAATATTTTTTTAATTAAGGATAAAGCATAGTAAACCAAAAAGTAACATTAACTTAAAAACATTTCTCTTTAAATAGGGTGAATAAAGTAGCAGAGTGGTCAAACTCAAAAATCTTATTATAAAATCTCATTACAAACCACAATATAAACCATGTTTTTAAGGTATCACCTCAAAATCATAAAACAAAAATAAAGTTTATAATAAATATGAAGTATAGGGATTCCTATACAGATTAATATAATCTAATATAGATTCCTATACAGCATGTTATACATGTTATTACAGTGTCTCTAGTCCATAAAATGAGTGATAATAATTACTAAAACAATTTAGTACCAGATTTCCAAAAATAGATTTAAGCAAGGCCTTCTAAAGTAGAAGGTCCGCTCATGCGAAATGTGATGTCACACTAGTAGTCCATTGATATTTGTTTTGTTTTAAAAAGATTTGTTTTTATGAAAAGCTTTTGCAAATAAATGTTTGTTTTGTTTATAAATAAATGTTGAATATTTATAAACAAATGTTGAGTGTTTCATATTTTGTTCGATTTAAATTATCAGATTACAAAAAAAAGCGGAATAATAAAAATAAAGAATAACAACCACAATTATTTTAAAAATAACTTTTTAATATTTTCACAAATTAGTTGTTTAACAAAAAATTTCACATGAATTAAATTTTATAAAATACATCAAGTCTCATTAGGACTAATTAATTCTTGCTTTTTTTATTATTAAACAAATTTTAGCAATATTCCTAAATAATTATTTATGAAATGTTGCCAGCTTCCTCAATGCTTTTGGAATTTTTGTTTTACTATTTTTTCTACATTTTGAAAGTTATCAGCTCTTTTGTAACAATTGTTTAGAAAAGCAACTGCTAGTGTAGGTATGGCAAGTTTTGCAATATAAAGTATTGAAATACCACAACAGCATACACCATTAACCATATCAAGAAACTCCAAACACTTAATTAATAAAGAAATTTGTTTGTGCTTTGATATCAACAAATATTTGGATTTATATTGAGAAGATATCAAAGAAGAAAATATTGAAAAAACTTCTATTGTAATTTGCAACAAAAAAATAGTTAGTCATTTCAACCCTCCACGATCTAAATTGTATAGATATTCATACTCAAATTGTCTGTAGATTCAGTTGCATTGACACGATTACATTCAAAAATAAAGTCTAAGAATGTTATACTGCCATGTTTTATAGAAATAATGTTTAAAGCACTAATGATTTTAATTTTTTTTTCTGATTTTTTTATTTCTTGGACTGATACATGGTAATTTCCACCTGAAAACTGTCAATAAGAACCAAACTGTGCTGTTTGAAATTTTCCTGTCAACACATAGAAAAAATGCAAATCAATTAGTATGTATTGAACCAATTCAACAAAAGTTATCACAGTGTGTTTTAAAGCAAAAATAGTTTGTTTAGTTAGACAGCCATATCTGCTTTATTGTTTAAAACTTTCCCATCTTTGAAGGCAAAAGTTGAAATCCTTTAAAAAAAAAAAATGATCATCTTTCAAGTGATGGGATTACAATCCTCATTTAGCATACAAATTCCTTTACTAGTAAACTAAACATTTAATATTTGCCAGAGTTTTATAATTAAAGAAATAAACTCATGAGTTCCTGTTACATCTTTGCTTTTTTCTTTTCCAATATGCATTAAGGCTACTGCTTCATCATCAAAAATATTTTAAAGCTAACTTAACATTTTGTCTTTCAAAAGTGGTTGGGTAAAGAGCTTTTTCAAAATAATAAACTATGGGGTGGAGGATGTATATGCTTATGCATTCCCACTCCCCACCAGAATCTGAAAGTCCTAAAATATTTTTTTTAAATATCAAAATAATTAAGGACCTTTTTTTTTAAGGAGACACAAATGTGTTACAAAAATAATTCAAAAACCCCCCAAAAAAACCAAAATTTGTCAAACTTGGAGCCAACTTATCAATATTATCTTTTTCAAAGTTGTGCGATTGTCAAATATGTTCAAAATATGCATTGTATTTAGAATCGCCTGTAAAACCAGAATATAGGAATGAATGTTCACTATCAAGTTGTTTCAGCCAATTATTGCTAATACAGTTCAATAGATCAACACTATTAAATAGAAAAAACAGTTTTCTTGTAGAATCATAAGGATGTTGAATCCTAACTGTAGTTGCTTCTTCATCAAGTTTATTTTTCGACACACCAGTCAAACAGTCTGAAATGAACAATGGTATTTTTATTACCAGGAAGAAATTATGTTAACATAGTAGATAACTGAGTCCAATAAGAAAGTTTACATTCATTGTTAAGTAACTTGGCCACCAAACTGCTGTCTATCTTTAAATTACCAGCAAAAACTTCAACAAGTATCTATATCATCAATCATACAAATACCAATATAGTTTGGTTTATGCAAAATAACCCAGATTTATTATTCATGAGTAATAAATCTAAATGGAAAAAAAAAAATCTAGAATGTCGTTGTGCAAAGTTTATTAATCAGGATGAGGAAAGATTTGAAAAATGGATGGAAATGAACAAAATTGGCAATTATGATGAGTTTTCTAATAAAATTAATGGTTATATGAATATAACCATTAATTTTATTAGAAAACTCATCAAAATTGCCAATTTTGTCTATTTCTATCTATTTTTCAAATCTTCCTTCATTAAATAAAAATAAATAAAAAGGAATGTTAGGAAATAATGATGGGTAAGCATCTGGAGTTAATTTTGGTCTATTTCTCTCAACATGTTACAGAACCATCATCTTGTTTTATTGTATTAACACAAACAGAAAATGAAGAAATGAAATGTTCTTCACACATAACAGTTTTATTTAAAGGAATAAAACTTTCTCAAGGAACGTGACGAATCCATAATTCTATCATCTTTAGATTTAAAAACACTAACATTTTCTCATGGATGATCAACTGATGCTAAATAGTTATCTCTACAACCAGGGACACATCAGTGTTCTAAAACCTATGAAGTGTTAAAAAAATAGTTTATTTATAAATATTTTTATATATAAAAATTAATAGCTATGAAATAATAAATAATTACAAATTAGTGCTGCAACTAATTAAATTGCAATGATCAAAAAAGTTATTTGAATCTCGAGTTAAGATATTGCAACTTCTGTAAAGAAAACCTTACCCTTGATAAATGCTTTGTTCTTTCAGCAAGAGACATTTTTAAAAATACACTGAATTAGTAACAAACTGCGCTGAAAATATGAAAACTAAATCTTAAATATTTACAACTTGAGATATTTAGAAACAAATAGTAAGTCGAAAAAATTAACATTGGACTACCAAAGTGACGCCACGTGAGGTTTTTCTATTCATGAGCGGGCCTTGTACTTTAGAAGGCCTTGAATTAAGTAATAAAAAAAATGGTTAAATCTTTTTGATAAGTAGAAAGCAACGTGTAATGATGGACAGCACTAAGTATGAATAGACTGATGCTCTTAGAAGGGTTCCACAAGATTCTGATCTATAAAAGATTTTTGCTAATCAAAATGAGTTTGTTTCAAAAAAACATTCCAGCATCAAATCATTGACATACAGAATTGACTTCATAAGATATACAAGTTGTCAACTACTGGACTTTTTAAATTGGACATTACTAAAAGTTGTGCCGCATATCAAGATTATATCAACCCTAGAAACATTTACTCTTAACTGAATTACCAATGGTATATCCAAAAATAATTTTTCTTGTGTTTTGCATATGATCTAAATTAAACAATGAATATTAAATCATGTGCTTCTAAAACCTTGCAAATTCTTGGTATGCTCAAAAATAACTTTACAAAAACAATGCAGCAATCATAACGCATAAAGTTTTTATTAAATACACCATTTCTATTTGGGCGCCATATTTTAAAGCTGATACAACCCTGCTTGAATCTGTTCAATGCAAAGCATTGAATAGATTCAAGCTATAAACAACTTGATGATGACCTAGTTCAAATATATAAAACTACTCATTGTTTTGATTGAGTCAATGATACAAATTTACTTTAATTTATCAACTATTCAACATGTGGACTTCATTTTAAAATCCAACATGAGATTTTTAAAAACTGTCAGAGGAAAAACAACATGTTTTTATAACAAATCTGCAAAATATTAGGATGCAAAACGAGTAACAAATAGCTCTACAGTAAACTTTGTTAAGGAAAATATTTGAAATTTAAAAAAAAAAAATTCTGTACTGGTTGTAGTAGGATACATATCCTGCTTGATGTATGCATTAGAGCTACAATATAGTTCTATTCTATAACACCATGGGTCACAAAGGTGGTAAATAGAAATACTTTTATATTTGTAAATAATGTAAGTTTTTATCTTTTGCATTTTTGTAAATTTATCTGTAATATATGATTAAAAAAATAAGCTTTCACATCTCAGAAACACTAACAAATTAAGCAAACAAATAACTAACAAAAAAAAACAAAAAAAAAAACAATATTTTTTCATTCTTGACATGTTTCCCAAACTTATTTTTACATTTACATTATAAATGCAAATGATTTATATTATACAAAAAACTCTGAAAAAAATTTTAAAAGTAAAAAAATTTACTGAGAAATATTAACCAACAAAAGTTTACACAATAAACCAATAGGAAAATTTGTAGACAACATGAGGCTTATGTAGCTTATAAAGTGAATCTTATGGATACAAAACAGCCATTTTTAAATTGTTTTAAATTTTTAATTTAAATTTGTTAAAGTTGAAACTTAATAAAGTTTAATAAATTGAACTTTATAAAGTTTAAAATATTGACTTTTTCTAAATTTATAATGACATGAACCAGACGGTCTCACCATCAGACTATAAAATTAAATGGTTTTACAAAAAGTGTTTCAAAAACTTGTTAAAGAAAACATTATATTGATGTCAATTTAACAAAAACACATCATTAGTTTCCAAAAACCTGTGTTTAGATATTGACCATTGTCGAAATTTATTTTCATTGGGTTGTGTAGGCTTGGTTATTGGTACTGTATCTCCTTCTAACTTTTTTTTCAAATTTATTTGAACTTAATGCTAAAACTTTGGCATCAGTCTAGTAAGTATTTCCCAGACTAAATTTTTTACAGTTTGATACACCAGAATTATTCCATTTTCTGTCATAAATTTATGGGGTAGTGGTGTAGTGGTAAAACACTCGCTTCAAACGCAAGAGGTTCCGAGTTCGATCCCCACCACGACCCTGGTAGTACCGCGCTCAACTTGTTTCTCCGCGCAGCGGCCTTGTTCATCAAGGTTTGTGTTTCAGAGTTATAGAGTTGAGAGAGGGTTATAACCACTATTAAGTAGCCTCCTCGTCTGTAGTGGCCTTCTCGGCCTTGAGGAGGTGAATAAAAAAAAAAAAAAAAAAAAAAAAAAAAATTTTGGTGTTGTAAAAATCGTGTGGACAGATTTACTGCAACTACAAATTAGTTTATAAACACCTGGTTAGGTGAAGCATGACAATACAGATTTACTTGTTAATATTGTTTCTAAGTAAAAAATAGATTTAAAAACAGCTCTGTAACCAACATTTTTTTAAGGTTTTTGGTTTATTTCAGGTATCCAAAGTAGCAAAACTATTTTTAAATCATTACCGGAGGTAGGTTTTTTTGTGTCAAATAAAGATTTTGATGTTTTTGTTTTAATTTATATTTTTTGCAGCCATTTTCAGCAAATGCTTGTATTAAGAAATTAATTCTTGTTGTAAATATTGTTTACTGCAAAACTTATAGGCTTTTATGAATAAAACTTATATGAATAAATATTAAATGAATAAAACTGATATGAATAAAACTAGTAAAAATACTTTTAAGAACTTTTGGATCATGTCCTGAATTTGTTTTAACTTGGATATTGGTAATTGCATCTTTTTCGTTGAACTTGTAATGGTCATTTTTGTTATTGGTGATACTAATATCTAAAAAATTATGTGATTTATTTTTATCTTCAAGTTTTATCGTATACTTAAAGCTAGTATATTGGTTGAGAATATCAAATAACATGTTAGCTTGTTCAATTGATTCAACTTGTATGTGACTGTCATCTACGTATAAATAGATAAAATAGATTTTATATTAACATTATTATTCAGTGTGATGGCAATTGCATTTGATTTATGGTGTTAAAAAATGTTTCAGATATAACAACCATTAAAGCAAGATAAATTGGTCCTGAATTTTCTAATTGAAGACTCCTTCCCAGACAAAATAGTAATCTTGGAGACAAAGATCAATGAGTTTTTTATTTCAATAATTTTAAGTTTGGTTCTTTTAGATGAATCATAATCATTATTGGGCATATTTAAAATAATTTTTATTGCTTCCTCAATTGGTACAGATGGATATAGATTTACAACATCATAAAATACTTGTAACTAAGTAGATGTTACATTCAAGGACTTCATTTTTTCAACAAATGTATACAAATGTTTTAATCTTGTTACATTTTTATCAAGTGTCGGTTGTATAATATTTACTAGGTATTCAGATACATAACTTGGTGTTGCTATAATCAAGACAGCAATTCCCATTGGTTTGTGTGCATTTATTATGTTGTACATGTGTGGAGGTAAAGGATCACTTGGATAAAGATGCTCATATTTACTTTTGGTAAATTTCTTTATTTTATTGAGTTCTCTGAGTGTGGTCTTAAACATTCAGGTAACTTTTAGTGTTGGATTGTTTATAATTATTGTTGTAGTTCCTGTTTGTTCTCTTATTTTTAGAGGCAAATCTAAAGTTTTGATCCAAACTAGACCAGTGCCTTTATTCAAAGGATAAATTTGTATGTTTTTGTTGAGTGAAAATTCTCTGATTGCTTTTCTTTGAACAGAAGGTTACATAAGGTTACTTTTTGGTGGTTTTTTTCATTTTTTAGCACACAAAGTACATCCAGGTCAATTTTTATGGAATCTGTTTCTTTGTTATTATATTTTAAATAAATATGCATTACTTACAAATAAAACCAAATTAAAAAAAAAGTAGAAACACATTAACAACAACTCACAAAATTCTTAATTTTTAAAATGATTTTTTTTATAGGCTGTACAGAACTGTTTTTTTACAAGCAATCAAACTGTGCAGAAACAAGATATTTGAAAAATAAGGTAATAATTAAACTATACACTATATTTCTTTAATTATGATTTTTTTTTTAGTAACCAAAAAATCAAATTATAAATAAGATACTTTATGAAAATAAGAACTTTGAGTTGGATATTAGAAAAAAAATACTTACCCATAACAAATATTCCAGGAACAGATATGGTTCGAAGCAAAGACCCTGTTTCTATTTTTTTTTCTTTCTCTTTATCATATGATTCATCATGATAAGCTAAAAAAAATTTAATGAAATTTAATAATGAAATTTGTTTAACAACTTATTACTTAGTTTTTTAAGCTAAATAATTATAATTAATATGTACAAATATTAATACATAATTAATACATAAACAAATATTACTCTTGTTTAGGTTTGAAAAGGGACAATAGAAATACCTCTTTCAGGAGGTAACACCCAGTATACTGCACCCACTACAGCTAGTACCATAGATCCAGTAACAAGAAATGGTAATTTGAAACCTCCATACTTCCAAGAAAACAAATATAGGATAATAAAAATAATATTTATCCAAATGTTAGCCATAACAACTAACTTTAAATTTATTTACCTGATATAAAAAACCTCCAAGAGCTGGTCCTGTCATAAATCCAAGACCAGAAAAAAGCTCTAAAGCTCCCTAAAGTAGACATGTTTTATTTATAACCATAAGGTTATTTATTAAAAGACTTTTTTATTACCATTAAAATATTAGAATGTAATTATATCATTTGGCTAAATACTAACAAACACAGTAGACATGTCTTCTGGAAAAGTATGACTAAGAATAGCAATAGCTGCTGTAGAAGAAGCTGAATTTCCAACAGCAGTAAATGATCGAACAAGAAAACAAAATGATACAAAAGTCAAGTGATCATCAATGTCGCCTAAAAAACTAAAATAATACATTATTAGTTTTATAAATTTAATAACTAATATTATAATTTGTTATTTATATTTAATAAATAGCAAAAATTAATGAACTTTCTGTTTTTGTTTATTTGTTTACCTAACAATTCATAAAAAAGTATTAGCTAAAAAATTTTTGTTGAAAGTACCCAAATCTAACTTTTTTTAAAAAATTATCATTTTAAAATTACATAATTTTGCTAAATTATGAATTTAATAATTTATAACTTAATAATTTTTTATTTTTAATTTATTTAATTAAATTTATTAATTATTAATTTTAAAAATGTGTACTTTTGGTTTTAATTAAACTAAAACTTGTTGAAAAATTTATGAAATAAAAACAGTTATGAATTAAAAAGCAATAAGAAAAAATTAAAACAAATTAAAAAGTTAATTAACACCTTTAATTTACTTAATTTGATTTAATCTTAATTTTATTTTTACAAAGTTTTAATTTTGTCTAATTTTTTTTACTACAGTCTGTTATAATGCGAAAGAAAAAAAAAATTATACCCAAATAAAATTTCTGTGATTCCTTCGACAAAGCATCCAGCAATTAGTAAAAACTTTACACCAATTAAAGGCATCTAAAGTGTTCAAAAAAACCTGGTAGCAATAATATGCTTTAAATTCAAAACACTAACAGTTTTATGGGACCAAGATTAAAATACCAACCAGCAAGCAGAAAACAAAGCAAAAAAACAACTCTTCTTTATAATTTTTATTAAGTATTGAAAGTTGTTAACATTAATTGTAAAGAATATTAATATGAATTCAGCTTAAAAACATAAATAATAAAAAAAAAAATTAACACAATAGCTAAAGTATTAATTAAACAATAATATAATAATAATAATTATAAATAAATAATATGAATTCTGTTTAAAAACATAAATAAGAACAAAATTAACATAATGGCTCAAAAAAAAAAAAAAAAAGTAAAGCAATTAAGTCATTGAAACATTATAAATTTATTTAGATGTGGATGTGCAAAAACATGGGCTATAAAGGTGGATATGCAAAAACATGGGCTATAGATGTGGATGTGCAAAAACATGGGCTATAAAGGTGGATATGCAAAAACATGGGCTATAGAGGTGGATGTGCAAAAACATGGGCTATAAAGGTGGATATGCAAAAACATGGGCTATAGAGGTGGATGTGCAAAAACATAGGCTATAGAGGTGGATGTGCAAAAACACGGGCTATAGAGGTGGATGTGCAAAAACATGGGCTATAAAGGTGGATATGCAAAAACATGGGCTATAGAGGTGGATGTGCAAAAACATGGGCTATAGAGGTGGATGTGCAAAAACATGGGCTATAGAGGTGGATGTGCAAAAACATAGGCTATAGAGGTGGATGTGCAAAAACATGGGCTATAGAGGTGGATGCAAAATATTTTGAAAAAGATTTTGATACAAATGATTTTATTTGTAATAAAATTATGTTACACTCTTTTTAACAATTCAAGAATTAAAAAAAAAAATGTATAATTTATTATATTTATATATTTATTTAAAAATATATCAAATGTTTTTAATTTACTTTTTTTTAACCTAGGAGGATAAACTTTTTAAGGCAAAGGCTAGGAGAAACTAACTCTGACTTAAAATACCTCATGCTTTGAGGCTCTTGGTTGAGTAAAGACTAGAGAGGGTATCTCGATAAAAACACTCATCTTAGACAAATAATTAAGGAGCAAATAGATTCTATCTGTTTGACCAGCATGGCACCCCTTCTTCATCTATCAGGCTTGCGTAGATATATTTATAATATATTGTTTCCAGTTTAGTATTTTGAATGCTGGATCTTCTTGATTCAATGCATAGATTTTGCTTGTGTCTTTGTTTTTATGACTAGGCAACTCATTCTATTATCTCCTAATGAGGGTACAGTTTCAAATCTCAGCTGGTAGTCAGGTTTTCTAAATTCTGTGGTAGCTCTCAGAAAGGCTGATTCCATCAACAGCAGTAAAATATCAAAGTACTAACAATGCCATGTTGCACAAAGATGGTGTCCCTGTTCGTAATTTTGCTGTGCATTGTCGAGACCACATTTGGAGCCCTTTGTTACGGCTTTGGGTTTATCAATAGTAAGGAGCAACAGCTTGAACTATTAAATAGTGTATTGAGAACTATCTGTGCTTTGAGTCAAGTTCTTAAACTGAAGTTCTGTTAAAAAACTTGACTAAAACGCCAAAAGCTACAAAACACAAATAACCATCGTCATCGCAAAGTTCTCTAAGTAACTTTTCTTCTGCTGAGTCTAATCTCTTGCAAAGTTCACCAGATCTATTTGGTCTTTGTGAGACTAATTTGAGTTTAGTTGCCTCATCTTGTGATCTTAGTGTTGATGGTTATCTTCCTTTAATTCATAAAGACTCCAATAGTCACATGCTTAGCCTAAGCATCTACATTCATAAGAATTCATCTATTTGTCGAAAAACTAGGTTTTTTAGTTCACAGACTATTACTTTATGTGCTTTCATTTGGCACCACTTCACTCTATCACCTTTCAGCTTTATAGCTCTCCTTCATCTCAAGACTGCACTCTTTTCAATGTTATTTTTATCAAATTGACCAAGCACTTTCTCTTTATCCGTCAACCAATATCGTTGTTGTTGGTGACTTAAATACTCATTACACTGAATGACTTGGCTCTAGTGTCAGTGACTCTGCAGGCCACAAGTCTTTCTCAATCTCTAAAATAAATAGACAACTTTCCAACTCGCTTTCCAGTCAATGCAAATCATTTACCTTCTCTACTCAACTTATGTCTTAATTCTGATCTTAGTCAGTCCTCAGTTTCTCCACATTTACCCTTAGATGTTTTTTCACAGTTTGATCAAAAACTATTACCTCATTCTTCTTCATCATCAGACTCCCACTATCATTGTACCTCTTACAACTACCTTAAAGCTGATTGGGACTGTTTCCGTGATTTTCTTTGTGATTCAACCTTGGGTGAAAATCTTTTGTCTTTTAGCTGACAAATGTGTTTCTTACTTAACATCTTGGATTTAGGTATGATATAAAAACTTAGATAAAACATATACTCTTGAATAAGTGTTATAAAATTTAACCATCAGCATGATCTAAATTGTGGTAGCGGTGTAGTGGTAAAAGCACTCACTTTGTAAGCGAGAGTTTCTGAGTTTGACTCCCACCATGTCCCTGGAAGTACCGCATCAACTTAATTTCTCCGTGCAGCGGTCTTGCTTGTCAAGGCTCGTGTTTCGGAGTTAAAGAGTTGAGAGAGGGTTGTACCACGATTTACAACAACAACAACAACAACAACAAAAAAAAAAAAAAAAAAAGGTAGCCTCCTCGACTGTAGTGGCCCCCTCGGGCCTTGGGGAGGTGAATAATTTGAAAAAATAATAATAATAAAAAATTATAAATTTCTTTTTGAAATTTATAATTTATTTTAGAGATTGAAAATGATGATTATTTAAAAAAAAAATTTTGGGAGGAGAATTGAAAAAAAAAATTTTTTGTGTCAAAGTGATTCTAAAAGCTGATGTCTGCAACTATTTATTTTTTGTTAAATTTTTAAAAGTTTGTATATGCAGTTTTAAATTCAAACAACTTGAATTGTTGTAAAAGGACTCTCAGTTTAATTCTATTTTTAAAACAAATTTTTGTGATTCAAAACGTAGTAATTTTTGTATGGAATCTTTTATTTCCTCTCATTAATTTTAAGTCAAGCCTCACTCTTCAGCATGGTTTTCCTCTCATTGTGCTGCTGCAATTTCCAATTGTAACTATTACTTTCATATCGATCAGCAAAATAGTTCTCTAGAAAACAGACGCCTGTTTACTGCTGCTAGAAACCTTTGTAAGAAAGTTTTGTCTAACATCAAAGTACATTAATTTCAGTTGACAAAATCTTGTATTTCATCTCAGAAATTAGGCTATCATGACTTGACAATGTCATGACTTGACACTTGAAAATTAGGCTATCATGACTTGACAACTTGGCAATGACAAAGAAATTAGGCTATGACATAACAAGACAAATCTGTTATGCAATCTCTCTTGTATGGCTCATACTTTGAAAACTCACATAAAGACAAAGCTGAATTGTTTGCTAAGAACTTCTCATCAATATCATCTCTTGATTTCACTAGTTGCATTTTACATAATATAGCAGACAAATAGGTTAATCTATTGCCAGACATTCGTATCACTCTAGCTTCTTAAAGGTTTGTTTCACTCCAAGTTTTATCCTTGAGGAACCTCCAAGGATAGAACCTTGAGGTTGCTCAAGGTTGTATCCTTGGCTCTATACTTTTTAAATTTATATTAACAATCTCCCAGAAACTCTTACATCTAAAGTGGCATTGCTTGCTGATGATACTACCATCATTTATTCTTGTCTTGATAAGAAGCCAACACTCTCTGATTGCTTGGATGGGGCATTTGAGCTTGAAAAAGATCTCACTTCTGCTACAGCATGGTACAAAACAAATTTTTTTTTCTGCTAATTGTTATTGCAATCATCTAGATCTTCCTTTATTTATAAATGGTAATGTATTCAATGAGTAAACTCTTCGTCTTCTAGGATTAACTCTTACTTACAATCTTTTTTGGAAACTATATATAAAACCGATTGCAAAATTAGCATCTAAGATTGCATCATTTTTTCTCATCACTTTCTTCCTCAGGATTTTTTCATAATCTTTATAAATCTCAAATCACACAAAAAAATAAAATGATAAAAATATATTTAAATATTAAGGTAACCTAAAATATGAAAAAAATATTTTTGTTATAATTGTTCTTTAAGAAAATTATAAGCAGGCCTTCTCGTAAGAGGCATGCGATCGCATGCCTTATATGACCACGCATTAAGTTCTTTGTTTTAGCAACTTGACCACGGCTCTTAGCAAGTATTGACAATTAGCGCATTTAAAAAATGCGTTAAAAAAAACAAAGCATATTAAAATAAACAATTCAAAAACTGAAAAGATAATAAAATCTTTAAATAAATATATAATACAAAAATTAACCTAAAAAAATTAAATATTCAAAGAATGATAAAATAAATAAAGGAAAAACCAGAAAAAATAGTCAAAACATTTGTTAATTAATGTAAACTTAATTGTAAGCAAAAGTAAAAAAAAAAAGTTATCACAGCCCTAATAATCTTTATCATTCCTTACAGCGAATCCATTGTGTCCCCTCCTCTTCTCAGAATTTTTTTTTATTTTTTTAGAAATTGATGTTTAAAAACGTTGGCTGTTTAAAAGTGTCATGAAATTTAATAAAATGTTTTGGTGCAAGTTTAAAATTTTATTAAAAAATTAATAGGATGCAGGGTACGATAAATCGACAAATGTTCCCGCATTTCTTAAAGACAGACAGAAAAACAAACATCATGTTTCTTTAATTTTGCTTAAGCAAACGTTGCCGTTTGATTAGGAGTTTTCAAAACGAACTTCAGCAAATTCTTTCAAAATAATTTTGCGATCATTACTTTTTTATTTATTATAAAAAACACGTATTTAATCTAAAAAACAATTAATTTTACAGACTTAAATTAATGCCAAAACATAAGTACTTTTTTCAATTGTGTCACTTTTAAGTAAAATAACTAAATACGCTATAGAAAAAAATAATTACGTTTTAGCATGGTTTTTGCATGCGCTCACAAAAGGATACATAATTTTAGTTAAAATGAATGCTTTCACAAAAACATCAAGAGAAACCATGCTCAAACATTTCGATTGCTATCTTTTATTGAGAAAAGCGATCATTACGTTTTATATTTTTTGCAATTACATTAAAAGTTTAAAGCAAATGTATTCATTATAAATAAAATTTAGCATGCTTTTTTCAAAATTTTCCTATTTTCTATAAAGTGAAATAACGTTTGTTTGCATATTAAAACTTTTGCACTTTTAAAAGTTTTTTTTGTTGTGCATTTATCATTAATTTGCGCGCACTTTGCAAATGTGTAAAAAAAGGTTTTTGAAAAATAAAAATTGAATAAATTTACCAAGCACCTTTGATATATTTAATAAATTATTAACTAGAATAAAAATTATTTGAATTTTATTTGACATAAATCTCTTAAATTAGACGTTCGTCAATAAATAAAGATACACAAGTCAATGTAAATTTAAAAAAAAAAAGATATATTACGCTCTAGGAAAAAAAAAAAGTTGGCAGATGCGATTGTTTCAAGATTATTGTAATTCCTTTTTTTTAGTAAATAATTTCTTTATTAGAAATTATATTTCCATGATAAAATGGTTTTTAATTATTTTTTGATAGCTTCTGTTCTCCTTTTGCCTTGAACTCTAAGCTGAATATTTTTTTCAATGATTGCCTTTAATTGAGTTGCATTAAATTACTCAGGAAATTTTGTGGGACTTTAATTGTACTTATGGAATCAATTAAATTTAAAATCACATTTGTTGTTTTTTTTTTAGCGCATTATTTTAACGTGCTAATTATCAAAACTTGCAAAGAGCCGTGGTCAAGTTGATAAAACAAAGAACTATATGCATGGTCTTATATGGTGTGCGATCGCACGCCTCTTACAATAAGGCCTGATAAGAGTATGGATATTGTTATAAGTCCAGCTTCTAATTGTTAAAACAAAGAAAAACAAAAAATTATGCACAGAAATGAAAATGCCCACGAATAATATATATATATATATATATATATATATATATATATATATATATATATATATATATATATATATATATATATATATATATATATATATATATATATATATATATATATATATATCAGTCTTCTCTATTTAAAATTTAATGCCAGCACATGAAAAAGCACTGGTTTTTAGGTTGGCGGGAGCGATTGAAAAAATTCCATTTTTTTGATATTAAAATATAAATAAAGACACCGAAAAGTATGTTTTGAATAAATAATAGAAGAAATAATTAAAAAAAAGATAACAGCAAAATGAATGTTTTAATGAAACTCTAGATAAAATAATCATATTAAAAAAAGCCAAACATTAAAAAACATTTTAAAATGTTTTAAAAATAGCAAAAAAATACAACAAAAAAGAATTATTACAATTTAAAAAAATGCTAATTTTTTGACAAGTGCTTTTAGTGCTATGTGCTCGCCAAACCTTTTGAAGGCAGGTGAGCAAGCGCAAAAAGGCTTGAGCGCAAAAGTGCTGGCCAAATGGAAAAGACTGATATATATGCTCATTTTATACTTATTCATTAACATTTAGTTTTAAAAGTAACTTTAAATTTATAAAATAAGCAGGAAAAAATAAACTTACATATTTTCCAATAAATGGAGAAAGTATAAAAACAACAAGAGGATATACTGTAAAAACAAGTCCAGATGTTGTTACAGAAACATTTTTCTTGACACCCTGAAAACAATTGTTTTAAATTAAATCAATCAATTTAGAACTAAAATATTTTTGTTATACTTTGATTTCGAAAAATTGAAAACTGTTTGTATTGCTTTACAATTGCTTCCAAATTATTTTTTTGAAACGTGACAATACTAAACATGACAAGGCAAAACCATTTTGTTTTAAAAAGCAATGAAAGAAAACAGGTTAAAGCATGTTTTGAAAGAGTTTTAATTAATTTTAAAAATAGTTTTAATTAATTTATAATTATACATAATTTTAAGACTTTTTGATGAAAAAAAAGAATACTATTTATTTTTCTTGTTATAAGTTTCTTGCTATTTTCTAGCTATTCAGGAGTTCTTGATTCTAAATTATAATATAAATGTAAAATTTCTTAATTTTAAAACTGCAAACATAATGACAGCATAGTAGCTTTAAACCATCATAAGTTCTTGCATAAGTTATTTGTACAAGGTGTCTGGTATGTTGTGAGCTATTGCAGTGAAAAAGTGAAAGTGAGCTAGGCTGTTGCTCTATACTTTTTTAAGTTGTCCTGATCATGACATGAAGCTGTTCTAAATTGGGGCAGGTAAAGATATTTAGCCAAGGTGGAGACAACTTATCTAATAACTTACCTAGAAGAAAAAACTCTGATATAAAACCCCCAATTGTGGGTAAGGGTAGAACAAACTTTAAAAGATTTGATGGTAATCTTCCTAGTGGTACTACCACATAATAATAATAAATTAATAAATAATAATCAATAAAAACACTCACGATATTGTTTAACTCTTAACTAGATGATTGAACCAATCTTCTTTATAATTCTTTTTAGAAAATTTAAAAACATTTAAAATAAATTAGTTATTATACTATGTCTCACTTTCTTTCTCAATTAGAAAAGTTGTTTCAATAGCTGGCTGCCAATCAGCTAAAGAAGATATTACTAAATATCCACCGTAATATGCAAAACTACATCAACCAAATCTCTGGCATATCTGTTCAATCACTCACAATTAAACATAATTCAAACCTTACAATTAAACATAAATTAGTCAGATGATTGAAATCAAACTACCCACAATCAACAAAATACTTCAGTGAATATACTGCGTCACAGTAAAAAAACTACAAATATTAAACTTAATGTACTATCTTGAAGATCACAATAAAAATGCTGAGCATCAAATTGCCATCAATCTTTACTATGTTCCATGGCAAAAGTCCATGCAATGGAATAGGAGAAACTATAAAAAAAAAAAGAAGTCGCAAAAGTGAGTCTATGAGCAGCAATTAAAAATCAGATGCTAAAAATTATGACATAAGATAGAGTATAACTAAATATTTTTTTGATTGTCTATATATAAATATATAACTTCCACAGTAAAAAAATTTATATCTATTTCAACTGTTTACGCTATTTTTTATGCCTGCAAAGAGTATGTAAATTATCATATTTTTTAGAAAAAGTGAGATTTTAACAGGCTGCAGCAAGTGTTTAACTTTTAATGCATAATTTTGTTTTTTACCATTAAATTAGTATTAAACTGTAGCACATTGAAGTTTCCAAATTTTTTTTTTATTATATTGCAATTTTTAGCAACTATGAGGTACAATAATTCAAAAACTGTTTAAAATTAAGGGAAAACACCTCCAAAATTAGACTGTTAGGATGAAAAACTATTAATGTTCAAAATTTTAGTTAATCACCTATTTTATTTGAAAAGTTATGGTCTGTCAAAAATCAAAAAAATCTACTGAAAGCTTCAGATACTAAAGTTTTTACAATTTTGTTCAATACTGATCATAACTTTTGAACGATTTATCCAATCAAGCTGAAATTTTAAAATAGCGTTTTTTTTTCAAAAAATATGTGAGTGGCTAAAATTTGAAACAAATTAAGGTGTAACTCTGGGGCACTTTTTAAGAAATAGGTTATTTTATATGGATTCACTTTATTTTTTTCAAGTGGGTTCACTTTATTTTTTTGCAGATATTTTTTTTTAACATGGTAATGATTGCATAAAGTAATTAAATTTCTTGCGTAAAGTAACTAAATCTAGATACAAGGAAAAAATCTATACACATTTTTTGTTGCATTTTATTTTATTTCTTTGTTTTTATTTTTTAGTTTTTTTTGCTTCATTTTCATTTTTTGTACATACATCAACTGACTTATATAGGAAAAATATAAAATGCAGCTATAGCGCAGTGGTTAACAGGCTTGCCTCAGAAGCTAGAGAACCGTGGTTCAACGCCACCTTAAAATCAGTTTTAAAACATGGGTAAAAAAGGAGGCGTTAACTTCCTTTCAAATGCTCTTCCTCAAATGCTCTCCAAAAATCCAAAATTTCGGGGAATTTTTTCCAGGATCACAGGATTTTTTTTCGGTACCCATGGATTTTAATAACAAATTGCTAACTTTGATGAGCTGAAAGCAGATAATAGTTTTAAAAAAAGTCTTGAGGTAATTGTTTTATGTTTTGAAATGATATGTAGAAGAGAAGCAACATTATTAAATTGTTATTATTTGTTACAAAACTTGATGCTCAAGATTGCTATTTAGCAAATAATCTTAGGCATGCTCTTGTTGAAAGGATAAGTCAAAGAAGGAAAAGCAATCTTGTTGGTTTATTAAGGTTTTTAGATAATCCAGTCTTTAAAAATTGATATTTATAATTACTTATTTTGCATATCATCTAAAACAGAAATGATATGTATTGGTATTGAATTAACTGAGATCCTTTTCAATATATTTCAAAATATACCAAAAGTACAAGATAAAATTAATGATAATGATAACCTTAACAATATTATGATTAATGATAAGCTTAACAATTGTAATGTCAGTTTGGAAAAGTCATCGGAATCTATGGCTGAAAGAAGGGCTGTGTAGTAGGTGTCGTGGAGTCACTGCACTTTTTTTTTTTTTTTTTTTTATTTTACTTCACCTCCTCAAGGCCGAGAAGGCCACTACAAACGAGGAGGCTACTTATTAATATTACGTTGAATATATTTATATAACGGAGGTTTCATTATGTACGCGCACATTACAGACTCTGTTAAATAAATACTAAGGCACGTTTTAGTTTAATGACAGTTTCTATTTTTAACTAATGAATATGTATTTTTCTTTATAAAACAAGACAAACTAGTATATAAAAACCTTGTATATTTCTATTCTCTCTAAATTGTTTAAAGTTCGAATATAGATTGTATTTTAAAGGACAAAAGATTTACTTTAAAAACTTTTAAATCTTAGAAATTTGCCGATGCGATAATCACAGAGAAAGAGAAGACTTACGTTATTAAAATCAAATGTAAGTTATATGATCTTCATCAAAATAAAATAATATCCAAAAACAATGGTGCCGTAAGGGCAGCTGCCCTACGGTTTATAAATAATACAAGTCATGTTAAATTTTTTTAAAATGTTACTATATTTTAATTAAGTTGATATATAAATAAATAAAAAATATATAGTTCAATAAATAAATTAAATTTGTTCTTAACAAAGATTATCTCATATTTATTCTTTTTTTATTTTATCAAGTTAAATTGCTTACAAACGAAGAAAAAAAAAGGAGTTGTAATTATACATTGAATGAAAATACTTTTGAGTTTGTTTGTAAGTTAAGGAACTTAATTTTTAATAAACAAATTTTTATGAACGTTTATTATAAACAGATATCAGACCTTGCGATAAAGCGTCAGGCGATGTGAATTTTACGTCTTCCAAGAGCGATTTTGCGCATAGCTAGGGTTATTTGTGTCGAGCAAAAAAATTTTTGTTTGAGTATATTTAAAGATATTTTTGAGCGGAACTTTAATGAAGTAAATTACGATTATTTTAACATTTAATAAAGTATTTTAAAAACCACACGCAGTTGATATAAAAGTTTGAATTACAAAAAAAATAAATATGCTCATTATTTACAAGTAGAAAAAATTCAGATTAAAAAAAAGTTTAAATCTTTTTAAGCTAGCAATTTAATAAAATTAATCAGCAATAGCAAAGTTGTCGATAAAATTGAACAAAAATACTTTCTTTTAGTTTTAGATTTTTAACTTAAATAATTATTTTACGGGGTTTTGTTCGGTTTTAAAATTATTCTATAGATTTAAAAATATTTATTAACTGTTAGACGAATTTAAAGTATTTAAGAGTAATTTCGAGGAAACATTTTAAAAATTGGTAAGCGCAAATAAAAAAAAAATAAAAGGAATAATATTAAAACGTATTCTACTTGATTCAATAAAAAAGTACAGTTATTAAAATTTTTGTAAAAAGTGACTCGAAAAAAATTACTTAAATAATAACAATCGCTTTTTTGTTAAAAGTTACCGAAACTCAACGAAGCGTGCTTAAGAACAGCTGCTGAAAAATAGAACGCCAATAGTTTTTCAAATAATTTTTAAAAATAATTTTTAAGAATAATTTTTTCGCTAAAATATTTCTTTTATACCTAAAAGATTTTTATTCTAACATTTTATTTTATTTTACCAAAAATAAAATTCCTTGTAAACATTAAAAATCTATTCAAAACGTTCGTTAAAGTTTTTTAATAATACGAGTGATTGTGCTTATTAACCGCTTTATGAAAATAAATAAAAATAAATAAACATTATCTAAAATCGCTAGTAAAAATATTAGCTATTGCACAGTTTTTAATCATTTAAAATTTCCAGTTTATTACTCTCTTACTTTTTAAAATGAAAAAATAATTATTTGAAAAACTTATGTTTTTTATTTGTTTAGTATAAACAAAACGTGTCAAACGTCGAGAAAACAAACAAATGTTTTTACATTTTAAAAAACGAAACATTCTAAAACATTTTTAAATAATAACATTTCTACATTAATGATTTAAAGTAGTTTTGCAGTAATTAAGTAAATTGGTGCAGTTAATGTCGATAAATATGAAAAGCAAATAAAAAGAATTTAATGACGTCAAAAATCACATTGTGCTTATGCGTCGCATAAACACGACGTGATATGATTCAAATTATTA